AAACAGCAAGAAGTTCCAGGAAGTTGATGTGGTTCCTGGAATCCTGGTGACTCCAAACCCCCTGGGTGCGGAGGTTGGAGCAAATGGCTCCCCATCCCAGAAGAGACGCGTTGGTACCGAGAGTCACTGTAGGGTACCGAGGTCAAAATGGGACACTGACATTTAAATTGGTTGGTTCTGTCCACCATAACAGATACTGTAGAACGGAGGACGGGAGCCGAATCCGTTTGGTAGGTGGATCTCTCTGTGGTTGGAACATCCTGTTGAAGAATAACTGAAGAGGGCGTAGTCTGAGTTTGGCATGCGGAACCACAGCGATGGATGCCACCATGTGTCCCAACAGGCTCTGAATAGATCGGGCAGGAACAGTCCCTTCTCATTGAATCCGAAAGATGTGCCAAGCGATAGCATGTTGTCTGTCTTGAGGAAGAAAGGCTCTTGTCACCGTAGAATCCAGCCAGGCTCCGATAAAGTTGATCGTCTGTGTAGGGAGAAGAGAAGACTTCTGTTGATTAATGTAGAGTCCAAGGTCTTGTAATAGAGCACAAGTAATATCAACAGCAGAAGAAAATCCTTCTTTAGTTTTGGAGAGGGGGGGAGGGTGAAATTGGGAGGAGAGGAAAGGCTCGCTCGCCCCATCAGCGCTGACGCCTATCCCCGTCAAAGCGGCGGTGGCCTTGCTGGAAGTGCTGGGACGGTTGCTGTCTGCGGCGTTGTTGGCGTTGGTGTGGTTGTTGTTGCCGAGGCTGGTATTGTTGGCGGTATTGCAGACGGGACCATGACCACTTACGGCGAGGCTGGGATTGCAGTTCCATACGACGGGCCGTCGTTCTGGATTCGTGAATCTTTTTTAATTTGCTATCTGTCTTCACATTGAAGAGACCGGGTCTGTCGAACGGCATCTCCTCAATTCTCTGCTTCATTTCTTCTGGGAAGTTGCAATTACGCAACCAGGCGTGTCTGTGGAGAGAAATGGCACCGACGAGCATCTCGAATCAGCATCTACATGGTGCCTGGCTGTAGAAAGTTGTTGCACCGCCACTTGCATAGCTTTCTTAACAAAGGTTTTCGCCAGCTCGCCCTGGTTGCCTGGGAAGGTGGCAATGATACTGTCTAGGCGCTGCATAAGGAAATATTGATAGCGTACCAAGGTCGCATCGTAATTTGAAATCCGTAATCCGAGGCCAGAAGCCACATATACCTGGTGCGCGAGGGAGTCAACTTTTCTTCCGTCCTTATCGTGAGGCGAGATGCGTCCACGTGCTTCCTGGCCCTGAGAAGATTCCACAACAACCGAGTTCGGCTTGGGCTGGTGGAGGAGGAATGGAATGTCCTCCTCCCGAACCCAGTACATGGACTCATGTTTATGTGAAGTCGGTTGTGGATGGGCCAGGAGGTCCCATGGTTGAGTCATTGCCTGCCGTAGAGTTGTTATAAACCATAAGGCGATGGAGGTGGATTGTTCGCCCCTGACCACATCATAAAAACGGTCAGTGCTCGGTCCCGGTTGTTGATGGGCTTTGATGTCGAGCGACTTCACCAGCCTGGCCATTAGCTCGGTGAAAGAGATGTACGGTTCTTCGGGTGACCCCGGGCCTTGTGAAGTAACCGCGGCATCTGGCGAAGTCGAGTCAACCTCAGATTCATCTGATTCCATCCAGTAAGGAGGTGGGGCACTGGAAGAGGAATCTCCTGGTGACTCCAATCTGCTGCTCTCTAGATGGAGCCCTCGGGGCGCCTCTGGGTGTAGAATGAAAACGATCCCGAGGAGCTGGTGGCGAGGATCGTCCTCTGGAAACCGGATAATAGCCCACAGATTGGTACTCTTCCCATCTCGAAGTGGAGGAGTATTGGGATTGGTACCAGTCATTGGATCTGGCATCCGAAGAACGGCTCCTACGGCTTCTCGGAGGAGAGATGGTGATGTCGGTATCCAGAGGGATGGGCGGCATTGGTGTTGGCGACCGAGCTCTCGGTGGAGAATCTCTTATTTCACCATCCGAGAGCGAACCACGCCATGGGTCCTGAAGTAGTTCGGCTGCTGGTCAACATGGTGAGCCTGGTGGAGTGACCCTCATAGCCGCCTGGATGGTCAGGACCGAGGGGGTTGGTTCCGTGATTAGAGTCGGAATCGAGGTCGCCGAACCCGAGTGCCGATGCTTTGTATGCTCGGGATTCCTCGGTTTGTTAACCTGCTTGCCAGTCTTATCCTTTTTGGCCTTCTTATGCACAGGATGCTTTTCCGGGTCCCTGTGCTTCCTCTTCTCCTTTTGTTTCCTTGGTAGGGAAACAGGCTGATCGGCCATAGTAGAAGCATCTTCTTCAGAAGGGCGTGAGGGCGGAGCAATGGAAGAAGAGGCTGGGTGCTGCGGCAGATCAGCCAAAGTTGGACGGCCTTTGGGTGGAGCCACAGTTGTGGGAGGCTTAGCCACCAGCTGGTCCGATTGGAGGAGAACTTGGTCCCACAAGTGTTTGTGGAGGTGGTTCTTCCGATTCTTCCTCGCCTGTTTGGAGAAGGCCAAGCAGTGGCCGCATTTATCTGTCCTGTACCCTTCCCCCAGGCAAAGGAGGCACAGGTCATGCGGGTCCACAGCGGGCATTTTGGAGCCACACTTCCCGCACTTGCGGAACACTGCCCGTTGCGCCATTGTAGAAAAAGAAAAGAAGGAGATAGTAAAGTGGGAGAATAATATTTTTGGGGGTTTGTTTTTTGTTTAGGAACGAGAGAGAAAATTGAAAAAAGAACTAAGTGAAATACTAACAGTAACACGAACAAGGGAATACTAACTTGGTAAGAAAAAAGGAAGTTTTTCAACAAGCGAGAGAGGTAAGTAACAATCTAAGTGAGAGCGAAGCGGCACGAGGCACAACGAACGGCGGTCACAAAGACTGGAAAATGGCGAATACTCCGCTCCTTATATAATACTAGTGGGGAGGGGGAACGGAGTTTCCCGCCAAAACCGTTAGCTGTTAATCTTCTGGCCAAAGGCACTGCACAGGTGCAGAACCCATATATGTGATGCACAGAGGCCACAACGAAGAAACACAACTCCTGTCTTGTAGGAGATATGAAAACTTTTGTCTTCTTCAGGCTTATTTCCTCTATGTTCTGCAAGTTTATCTATTCTTAAGAAGCAATGGGAATGTCATAGGAATATCACAATGCCCTACAAACAGTGGTGACTGAAATTATATGCTGTCTACTGCAAAGTGGAAACATAGGAAGCTGCATTCCAACCATTTGGTATTGAGGTGGACTGTTAGTCAGTTGGGTTCAATATAATCTGGATCTGACACGGGAAAAGTGAGGCCTTCCCAATGTTGTTTGCTGCTTCTATCATACCTCAACATTGTCTGTGCTGACTAGAGTTGGTGGAAGTTTCAGTCCATCAACATCTGGAAAACCACATGCTCCCCACTCATGGTCTGCACTGGGCATATTCACATACTAGACCAGCCTCCCCTGGCAATAAGCCACAGGTTAGTTGTTGGGCAAATCTAGTCACCCCGTCCTCCTCCATTTGTGCTTGTGAGCACTTTGGTAGCAAGTGACAGTCGCTTTACAGTGCCCAAGAACACATTAGAGGGCCGTTACTGTTTCATCATCCCTTTTAAATAGAAGAAAATTTGTGTCTCGTGTGCTCAATTTTTTCCAGGTTTTTAAAATTCCTTTAGTCATGCATGCATGCATGCAGGTCTGAAATGGCATGCCTCACCTGGACAATAGAGGTGTGTCTGCTGTTAAAGCACAATAGGCAGCCCTCATAAGCATTGATCCGGAGAGAGTGTCAAGGGGCTTACTTTACACTTTGGTTAGTCAGTGCCAGTCACCCCAAATTGCCACTTTGGCAACTGTGGGCAGATGGCAGTGCTGCTAATACAGGCACACTTGGCAAAAGTACCAAAGGGTTTTTGCCACTCTTGCCAGGATAATCCCTAGTACCCACAATGAGGCCAATGACTCTATGAGTTATTAGGGTGGCTGGTTTCCTACATACAAGCCATCCTGTAGAAAGAGTCTAGGATTGAACAACCCACCATGTTGTGTTGAGCAAACCCAGTCACTGGCAATGGCTCCCCAGGATTTCATAAATAAGTATTTTCAAGTCCTACCTGGAGATGTATTTATTCCAACACCCTGTAATACATTTCTCTGGGCCGCATACAAAAAACCCCAAACATAACAATTTAAATACAGGGTGGAATATAAAAATTGAAATCAAATACAATGTCATAAAACACAACTTATCATAAAACACAACTCCCCAATTAAACACACATATTTTAAAGCCTGGATGAGAAGTCTTGACTTGGCACCAGAAAGACCACAGTGATGGCACCTGTCAGCCCCTTTAGGAAAGTTGTTGCCACCACCAAATGGACCCTTTCTCTGGCAGTTACCTACCTCACTTCTTTCAAGGATACAGCATCTGAAGATCTTAACTTTGGGTAGGTAGATACGGGAAATATTGGTCATTCATGTAACCTTGTCCCAAGCAATTAAAGATAAAGCAAAAACAGATTGGAAGCCAGTGAAGCTGGCAATGCCCATGTAATATGGTTTAATAATTTCCCATATCCAGTAAGTAATCTAAATCAACTGCAGTTTCTAATAATTTTTAAAGGTACCCCAAGATACAGCACATTCCAACAGTTCTATGAACTGAGGCTGATAAAAGATGTGCTTCAGGATTCTGAGGACTGAGCCTTGGGCTTTCCGCATGCAAAAGATAAACTGTGCTATGGAGCTACAGATGGTTCCTGTGCTTAGAAACCCTTCACACCAAGTCAGAGGTAATGATGCTTTTGGGCGTAGGTGAGGACTGTGGTCATCAACTGTTTGGTCTATTAGAGAGCGTAAGATTTGGACAATCGCACTATTAGAGTACTAATTTAATTAGTACACATTAGAACAAAGGTGTTCAATTTGCTGCAACTACTGCAATTCTTTTAGACAAAAGTTGACTATTTTGGATTAAACAATAAACAAGTGGACGGTATTTTGAAAAAGTATTTTCACTTTAATGAGTTTAGTAACATCAAACCAACAATACAAAAAACTGTGACTTTTTCATAACTCTATACATTGTGGACCACCTGAAAAGGGACGAAAAAGCATCCTTCTTTAGTCCTGCCCTAATTTTTGCAGTACACAAAGGATAAGTATTATCATGCATTTGTAAATGACATGTGAATATTAACTTAAATAAGAAGATATATAGAAGGATGTGCTCTGAATAACAATATACAAAAATTATGTTAGCGTATGATGCCAAACATGAAATTGTCATCGACAAAATTGAAGTTACTATACACTGATTTTCCATTTCCTAAAAGTTTTGGCTTGCTCATTTTTAAATTACTTTAAATAGTAGTAAAATTTTAAATATTTAAAATATATTTCCTCTATGAAGACTGCTTATTGGAAGACAGTTTGAGTTTCCTTTTAACATATATTACTCAAAGCAAAGGGAAATGATACAATGTCCTGATAAAGAAGGCTGTACAATCCAGCTATTTCACTGATGACAGAAGCTTGAAAGGAAAAGATCACAGGCTATGCATTCTTTATAGAGATCAGAACATGAAACAATGCTAAGCAAAGGATTCCATAACCTAGAGTTTTACACAGTACATCAGTTTGTTAGCTTGCCCTTATTGGTATCACATTCTAAATTATACCAAATTATCAAGATTTTACATTTTAGTAGGTACTGAACATTTGAAAATCAATGCATCTCTGTAGAGTGTCAGTTCCATTCTCTTGTGATATTAGGGGAATATAACTACATGTTCTGAAGTATTTAAATAAGTTATATCCCAACTGGAAAGTGGGAGCAATTCCCAATGATTTCAGCATATTTAGGTGAGGGCTTTAGCTGCACAAAATCTTTAAAACTCTTTATTGTGAGTGTTCCGACAATTTCCCCAAGAATGTCAAAGCATACACGCAAAAGTATTTGCAGGAGACAATGGAAGGAAAAATATTTAAGACTGTAGCCTAAGCGATATACTTAATGGCCTATAGGGTATTCTAACATATGTTTAGAAATCAAATGAGCAATCAACTTATTTCTGGACTGCTGATACTGTATCTCTTCAATATGAACATTCCATTCAGGAAATATTACCTTGACTGTGGCCATAATCTTCTCCACCTCTTGTTGGTATAAGAAACCTAAAATCCTAATTTATATTTGGCACAAATGGTACTTCATTCCCCAAAATTAGTCTTTTGACTGTCTCAGAAATCCTCCTACATAGGTGTTTTCTTATGTTTCAGTGAACACTGGGATTTCCTGGAAGCTTATTAGTGATACCATAATGAAAATGTTAAGTGTGGACAAATATAACAAAAACACTGCTGCTAAGTTACCCACCCAATTTTCCCTGCAGTGCAAAGCACAGCACTAGGTATGTTCCAAAGCACATTTGCAGCTCACAAGGGGCTTTGATTGCAACCCAGTAGCCTTATCAGTGCTCTGCATAAACTGAGAACTCTAGAAGAGGCACCCAAGTCTTCTGCAAGGTACTGAAGTTCCATGAAAAACATTGAGAAGGGGCAAGTTGATGTGAAAGAGGAGCTGAGTCCTGAGGAGCTTCTTCTACATTCTTTACTTGAGAGTTGCCCTCTACTTACCCTAGAAATGAAATAGAAAGCCAAAAGTGAAATCCTAAATCCTATACTCAGAAGTAAGTCTCACTGACTACAGGCTTACTCTGAGGTGAGTGAGTTTAGGACTGTAGCCCAAAATGACTTTCATGCAAGTTGAATCCCCTGACTCTTCCCCACCCCCTCCAGCTAAATAAAAAATGATTTTAAAAAGAGTTTGCAACAGATCTCTGAAAGTTTCACCTGTTAAAAGAGGAGCATAACATATGAATAATGTTAATCACCTACTTGTGTTCTTTATTTGCCATAAATGATTTAGTAAGTTATAATTTCATATATCGGAGTCAGTCATGTTCTCCCTATATTATTATTATTATTATTATTATTATTATTATTATTATTATTACATTACATGCAAGTATTCCATGAATGTTGAAATGTATATTAATTTATTGTAAATTTTTTTGGTCTGCATTTCTGAACCTTAATTTCAATATATATATATATATATATATATGGCTGCTATATCTCCCTTCCATACCATCCTCCAAACAAGCAGGTAATTTACACGATGGTCTTAAGAATATTGCATTTATAATATAAAAAGAATGTACTAATCTTTTTCTAACACAAAGTAGTCTTACAGAACAATCCCACACAAGTCTACTCAAAAGTAAGTCCCAATGGGTTAAATGAGATTTACTCCCAGATAAGTGGGTACAGGATATTAGGATTAAAATATCAGTGAAGAGTTAAGATATACATCTGTTTCTAGGAAGTGTGTTCATATTGAAATTTCCAAAATAATTCAGCAGCATTGGTGTCTTCCTTGCAGGTAGATGTATGCTTCAAAACATTTCTAAGCAAAGGATCAAGATGCAGCCCTAACATTGTATAACTCTAAGACCACTGATTCTGCTACAGGACCAGCAGACATATAGTATACGTACAGTCACAGTAACAAAATCTTGCTTTTTCAATGCAAGTGCATTATGAGAAATTTTTAAACAAATACTAACAGAAAACTCTACCAGCTTTTTCACTGAGTTTTTTTTCCTCACAGAGAAATGAAGAGTACCAAAAACATGAAGTAATTTTTTGAAAATGCAGAGCTTGTCCAGCACAGTAAGACAGATAAAGATAAAAAAATGCTATCCTTTGATATTTTGAAATCCTATTTTAATTGCTCATGAACACAGCCCTTCATTATACTTTACAAATCTAAGGTGCAATGAACATATGTACAACTAAGGAAAATACACCATGCTACATACAAGAATATCCTGGTTGGCTAGTGAATGAGGAATCCTGCTTTCTTGGCTGAAATTAAGGCACTAAGTGGCAGTGAAAAGACAAATGAATTATTTTCATATATTATCTGACAAAGTACAATACGTTCAGTCTTTTCACAACTCCAAGCAGAGGACTTACATATCTTGAATCAATGACTGAGGTAAGGCATTCTGTTGGCAAATGAAGAAATTTTCCTACTGATCTGCGCTTAACACATTTGTAGCCTAAGTGTGACTACTAGGTGCTACTGATTAAGAATAACTCAGCAGAGAAAAACAATATAGAAGTATGTCTGAGGATCTGAAAAGGCACCAAGAAGTGAACAGTTCTGCCATTACCAGTTCTAAAAAACATCCATGTTGGCTGTGTTTAACACTGCATATAGTCCATTCAATCATCAGTCCTCATTGTCCAGAAGACAAATATAGTAACTGTTCATTGAAACTTTCAGTTAATCAAGACATTTTAGTAAGAAATTTATTTCCATGTATCAGAAAATAAAATGCAGTGTTTAAACACAACTATACTTATAAAGCAAACTTATAAAGTCTAGTAGTATGTCTTATTCCTGGTTAACACTGAAGCAAACCTGTATAAACAAAAGGATTATCTCAAGATACATAGTTTACAATATGAAATTAATATATAAAATGAACAGGATTTATGGAAAGCAACAGGAAGTGTATTACAAAGATACATGAAAGAATTTTAAGCCACAATATTTTCTCTGTGAAAAATACAGCTATTATTGAGATAAAATGTACAATTGATTTCTTTCCAAAGGGGAAAAAGCACAGTATAAAGAAAAATAAGTTTTTCTTCAAAAACAGGGAAAATAGTTATGGTCATTGTTTTTCATTACAATATAATTTGACACAAAATAGCAGTCACAGGATTGCACCAATTCCATGTCCAGTCAACTGAACAGAACAGCAGTAAAAGGAGTCTATAAAACAGAATCTATGGTGGTGATTATTCATAATTAGAATTTCCTGTCATACTTGCTCTGTTTTCAAAATGTTCAAGACTCTACTTGGTAAGTCAGAGAAATGTAAATATTTACCACCCAGACTCTTCTTAGTGTTCAGAGTCAGAAAAAGCCATGACATTTTAATTCTTATTTTCATCATAGCCAAAAAATATATATATTTAGTGCATGCTTTGATCAACTGTGAAAAATAACCCCAAAAGTTATTTCAATATAAGAATTTACAAAATAGAAAAAAATCATACTTCAGGTTAAAAATGCAGTGAGGTTCATTTGTAGTTCTATTTGCATGGCTGTGTAATTTTCCTTATCAGAAGCCAAGGAACCAAGAACACAACAAATCCTTCTGACTTAGAATAGAGTCTAGCATGATCAGAGCTTCTGACTTTCAGTTTCTTTTGAAACATGTGAAAGAAAAAAAAGTAATTTGCGGCAAAGTTTGTTATGAACATTTCTGCTGTACGTGATTCAACAGTTCACCAAACTTCTCAAAAAGGTCCTCTACCCATTTTATATTTTTCATGCATTGTTGTACAATCTGCTCCTGGCCTAGATCTGCATTCTTCTTTTGAACAGATGAAATCTATTAATAAAACAAATAAAACAAGAAGCAGTTAGTTTGCTAATAGTCACATGTTCTCAGTATGCTCATAAATTGAAGCACATACCCTCCCACCATGAAAATATCCTATTTTCTGACTGATGAACAACCTCTATATGAATAAAAATTTACCAAAGAAATTTCTAGCCCATTGAGACTCTATTTCTAGACTGAAGCCATGCTTCTGTATTCATGACTCACAAATACTCTGTATGTCAGTGATTCACATCTTTGGATTCACACATTTTGTTGGACTGTATCTCCCATCATCTCAGTTGATATGGCTAATGCTATTAGGTCTTTATGGCAGAAAGGGTAAACTTTGATTATTGCCTCTTTAAAATAATGTCAATAACTACATGGTTTCTCCTTTGCTTAAGTGAAGCCAAAGAGAATGTGTCTCCTTTTAGAAATTTCAATGTTTTGACAGTGATTTGCAAATTGAGGCCCGTGATGAGGTGCATGGAGTACTATCGGCCACGCTCCAGGCAGGATCCTTCACTAGGCCAGGATCTGCACAGAGTGAATGTCCTCTGGCAACAGAAATTTTGAGATCCAGTAGGGATGGATGGTGTTAGCCCCTTACATCCAATGTGTTTCAGGAAGGAAGGATTTCAGAAAGTGTCTGCAAGAGTAAATCCGAAATATTCTGATCTACCCTTCTAATGGGATTATTACCCAGGTCAACAGATCCTCTCACACAGCAGCAAACTGTCTGGATCTAACAATACAGAAGGATCTCTGCATAATAACCAGCTAAAAAGTGCTTGGTTTGATGGGAGTAGGTGACACAAAGCTTGAAAGAACAAATGTTTAAGCAACAGTGTGATACAGTGGAGGAACAAGGCATAATACAACCCTGGGATATGGAATCATAAATCTGTGAAGCAGTATTTGTTTTGACTCTAGAAATACCAGTGGATTAGATTTCTGAAAGTCAGTGCATCGGCACAATATAAACTTAGTACATGAGATAAATTTTTCAATTGCAAGAAATTCTCAGAATCGTTAAGTCATTTTTTTTTTAACTGTTCATGTATTTGCAATGTTTTCCACCTAAGGAATGGACTTTCATTAACAAATACACTTTCAAAGTAACTTTAAACAATTGTTATTACAACACTACTTATATTTTGGGACATATACCTGTTCAATGCAGGTTGAAAACTCCATCACCATCATATTATTTTTCAACATCTCAAACTGTTTAATTTTAATACAATTAATAATACACAGTGAATTGCCTTAATTTTTAGTTAGAAACACACACAGTAACATAAATTAGAGAAAGATTCACCTCTACTTTACACCTCAGAAACATGTGGTATTTGTAATGATGGAGTGAATGATACAAAGAACACAATGGAATTTTTTCTGGATCAACAGCAAACTCCTGTAGAGACAAATAGCCATTGTTAGCTGCAATATACGATAGGTTTCTTAGTACCATTTTTAATTATTCAGAATGCACTTGTGAATATACCTTTAATCAGCTTAGGCTGATTTACCAACTACGACCCTAGCTGGACAGGCAGAACCTCGCCCTGGTAACCTCTTGATTGGATTGCTGCAATGTTGTCTTCATTGGGCTACCTCTGAAAATGGTCCAGAAACTTCAATTGGTCCAGAATAGGGCAGCAAGGCTGCTGGTAAGGACTGGCAGATATGAACATATAATGCCAGTCCTCTGTCAACTTCACTAGTTACCAATTGAAATCTGGGCCCAATTCAAAGTGTTGACAAAAGCATTAAAAGCCCTTAATGGCTTGGGGACAGGTTACCCAAAGGAATGCTTCTTCTCATATATGCCTACCTGGGCCCTAAGATCTACGTCTGAGGACCTTCTCAGGGAGCCCCTCTGAAGGCAGTAAGGGTAGTGGTTACAAAGAGAAAGGCTTTTTTGGCAATGGCACCCTGACTTTCGAATCGGTTCCCCAAAGAAGCTCACCTGGTGTCTTCTTTATATTCTTTTTGGTGCCAAAATAAACTTTTTTATTTACCCAATATTTTAATTGTTAAGGTAATTTTAAAGGTTTTATGAATTTTACTATATCCTGTGCTACTGTGCCTTTCTATTTTATTCTGCTGGCTAAGAACTGTAGGGATGTGTGGTTTTATTGCAGGTTTTTATTATATAATGTTTTTACATATTGTTTATTGTTATTACACCCAGTCCCCAGGTTACCAATGAGTTCTGTTCCCGAGATCATCCTTAAGTTGAATTAGTATGTAAGTGGAATCAAGTGGAATCATATTAATATTAATATAAAAGATAATACAGAATTTTAATAATGCTAATAATACAGTAATAATAAAGTAACTATAGGTCCTGAAGAGAGAGAATCTGTATGAATGTGTGTGTAGGAATACAGTACAGTTCTTAAAACAGTTTAGAAAGACAGAAAAAGTAGTAAAAGAGATTATTAAAGGTTAACACACCTCTTGAGCTAACATTAAGCCTAACAATGGCAAATATTATTAAAATACTATCACTGGTGCAGAGAGAAATCGCTGTAGTGCAATCCTATTCATATCTATTCAGACAAAAGTCCCATTGAGTTCAGTCGCACTACAATTTAAGTGTGCACTGGTTTGCTACCACAGGGGATCTACCCCAAAGACATAAAGCACCTTGTTTCTCCCTGGCTCAAAGGGGAGTAACATAGCTCCCATTTTTTAGTCTTTCACTCACAGGACAGAATCCAGGCAGGAGCTTATGCCTCCACCAATTCTATAAATGCCTTCCTGGAGTCTGCCCAAAGAAACAGTTCTCTATTCCTCACTCCAAGGTACTCAGTAGAATAAAATATGTTGCTGGTCTTCAAAAAAATAAAGATCAAAGGAAATGAAACAAATCACATAATTTTAAAGATACAGTCACATAATTTAAGGACCAGTAGTTTTTGAAAATGCGTAATTGAAAAGCATCAATTATAGTTCAATTTTGAGAAAATGCATAAAAATCAAGAAAATCCTAAGAATGGTGGCTGCTTTCCATTAGAAATGTGGCAGGACAAAAAAACACATACCTGTGCTAATTTTGTGGTTGCTTTAGAAATCTTCAATGTTTTCTTGTTATAAGCCTTGCCATTCATTTTGATTCTAGAAACTGCACTGACTCCCATTTTTGTTTTAGAATCACGAGTGATTATTGTCAGTTCCGGAAAGCTTTCCAAAGCAGCCTTGAAACAGAGCATAAAAGCAGTAGATTACAGAGTTTGCAATATTTCAAGAAAGAAAATTTGTCAAATGAGAGGGAGGGAGGGAGGGAGGGAGGTCACTGTTCCCTGTTAAAAACTAAAAACTCTGGAGACAAACCAATCCAATAGCTTTTTACCAAATTCAAGTGGATTTCTAGATTTATATTATACTGTGTACATCCCGTCTTTTTTGAAAATGCTGGGAGAGTCAAATTTATGGGAGGGAATATACACAAAAATACAACAGGAATTTGTATAGCCACTTTTTTGCTTTGCACTGCTCAACAACTTTCTATAAAGTTTTCCAGTAATATGAGAACTGTAAGAGGTAAATAAAAGAATTTTAACTATAGTACCTTGAATGAACGCTCTAAATGTAATTTGGAAAGCAGCCTTTTTCTATTATCGTTCAGCATGCCATCAATTTTTCTCATGTGAGGCAAAAGCAGCTCATCTGAAAAAGAAAATCTTAGGTAAGTATTATACTGTATGCTATGGATGCTTGAACATTTTTAGTTACACTTGTTACTTTTTTTGGTATCTATTTGAAAAAAATGCTTTATACGTATTTATAATTTTAATAAATATACAGAATCATAGACTCACATGAAGCACTTCAAAGAAATTTCAGGGTAAGATCAAGTAAACATTCAAGTAATGAAGCTATGAGCTATGCCATGCAGGGTCACCCAAGACGGACAGTCATAGCAGAGAGCTCTGACAAAACGTGATCCACTGGAGAAGGAAATGGCAACCCACTCCAGTATCTTTGCCATGAAAACCCCATGGAGAGTACCAAAAGACAAAAAGATATGACGCCGGAAGATGAGCCCCTCAGGTCGGAAGGTGTCCAATATGCTACTGGGGAAGAGCAGAGGGCTAGTACTAGTAGTGCCAGAAAGAATGAAGCGACTGGGTCAAAGCCGAAAGGACAGTTGCTGATGTATCTGGTGATGAAAGGAGAGTCCGATGCTGCAAAGATCTCTACTCCATAGGAACCTGGAATGTAGGATCCATGAATCAAAGCAAGCTGGATGTGGTCAAACAAGAGATGACAAGACTGAACATCGACATCTTAGGAATCAGTGAACTAAAATGGACAGGAATGGGTGAATTTAATTCAGATGACCATCAGGTATACTACTGCACGCAAGCATTCCTCAGAAGAAATGGAGTAGCCTTCACAGTCAATAAAAGAGTAGGAAAAGCAGTACTGGGATACAATCTCCAAAATGACAGAGTGATCTCAGTTCGAATCCAAGGCAAACCATTCAACATCACAATAGTCCAAGTCTATGCCCCAACCACTGGTGCTGAAGAGGCTAAAGTTGACCGGTTCTATGAAGGTCTACAACACCTTCTAAAATTAACTCCAAAAAATGATGTCCTTATCATCATGGGGGACTGGAATGCTAAAGTAGGAAGCCAAAAGATAACCGGAATAACAGACAAGTTTGGCCTTGGAGTACAAAATGAAGCAGGGCACAGGCTAGTAGAATTTTGTCAAGAGAATACGATGGTCATAGCAAACACTCTTTTCCAGCAACCCAAGAGATGACTCTACACATGGACATCACCAGACGGTCAACACAGAAATCAGATTGATTATGTGCTCTGCAGCCAAAGATGGAGAAGCTCTATACAGTCAGTAAAAACTAGACCAGGAGCTGACTGTGGCTCAGATCATGAGCTTCTTGTTGCAAAATTTAGGCTTAAGTTGAAGAAAGTAGGGAAAAGCACCAGGCCACTCAGGTATGACCTAAATCATATCCCTGATGAAGATATAGTAGAGGTGACAAATAGATTTAAGGAATTAGATCTGATAGACGGAGTGCCTGAAGAACTATGGACGGAGGTTCACAACATTGTCCAAGAGGTAGCAACTAAAACCATCCCAAAGAAAAAGAAATGCAAGAAAGCAAAATGGCTGTCTGAACAAGCTTTACAAATAGCTGAGGAAAGAAGGGAAGCAAAAGGCAAGGGAGAAAGAGAAAGATACAAACAATTGAATGCAGAATTCCAGAGAATAGCTAGAAGAGATAAGAATGCCTTCTTAAATGAACAGTGCAAAGAAATCGAAGAAAACAACAGAATAGGGAGGACCAGAGATCTCGTCAAGAAAATTGGAGATATGAAGGGAACGTTTCATGCAAAGATGGGCATGATAAAGGACCAAAAGGCAGGGACCTAACAGAGGCAGAAGAGATTAAGAAGAGGTGGCAAGATTACACAGAAGAACTATACAATTAAGAGTTTAACGTCCCTGATAACCACGATGGGGTGTTCACTGACCTCGAGCCAGACATCCTGGAATGTGAAGTCAAATGGGCCTTAGGAAGTCTGAGCAACAACAAAGCTAGTGGAGGAGACAGTATTCCAGCTGAGCTATTCAAAATCCTAAAAGACGATGCAGTAAAAGTGCTACACTCAATATGCCAGCAAATTTGGAAAACTCAGCAGTGGCCACAGGATTGGAAAAGGTCCGTTTACATTCCCATCCCAAAGAAGGGCAATGCCAAAGAATGTTCAAACTACCGCACCAATGCACTCATTTCACATGCTAGCAAAGTTATGCTCAAAATCCTACAAGCTAGGCTCCAGCAGTATGTGGACCGAGAACTACCAGAAGTACAGGCAGGATTTCGAAGAGGGAGAGGAACTAGAGATCAAATTGCCAACATACGCTGGATCATGGAGAAAGTTAGGGAGTTCCAGAAAAACATCTACTTCTGCTTCATTGACTATGCTAAAGCCTTTGATTGTGTGGATCACAACAAATTGTGGCAAGTTCTTAAAGAGATGGGAGTACCAGACCATCTTATTTGTCTCTTGAGAAACCTATATGTGGGTCAAGAAGCAACAGTGAGAACTGGACACGGAACCACTGATTGGTTCAAAATTGAGAAAGGAGTTCAGCAAGGCTGTACACTGTCGCCCTGCCTATTTAACTTATATGCAGAGCACATCATGAGAAAGGCGAGCCTAGATGAATCACCAGTTGGAATTAAGATTGCTGGGAGAAATATCAACAACCTCAGATATGCAGATGATACCACTCTCATGGCAGAAAGTGAAGAGGAACTAAAGAGTCTCTTGATGTGGGTGAAGGAGAGCGCAAAAGTAGGCTTGAAACTCAACATTAAGAAAACTAAGATCATGGCATCCAGTCCTCTCACTTCCTGGGAAATAGATGGGGAAGAAATGGAGTGACAGATTTTAATTTCCTGGGCTCCAAGATCACTGCAGATGGGGACTACAGCCAAGAAATTAAAAGTCGCTTGCTCCTGGGGAGGAAAGCTATGGCAAATCTAGACAGCATACTAAAAAGCAGAGACATCACCCTGCCAACAAAAGTGCGTATAGTCAAGGCTATGGTTTTCCTAGTTGCAATGTATGGCTGTGAAAGCTGGACCATAAGGAAGGCTGAGCGCAAAAGGATTGAGGCCTTTAAATTGTGGTGCTGGAGGAGACTTCTGGACCTCAAGGCAATCAAACTGGTCAGTCCTAGAGGAGATCAACCCTGACTGCTCTTTAGAAGGCCAGATACTGAAGATGAAACTCAAATACTTTGGCCACCTACTGAGAAGGAAGGACTCCCTCCTGGAGAAGAGTCTAATGCTGGGAACAATAGATGGCAAAAGAAGGGGATGGCAGAGGACAAGGTGGCTAGATGGAGTCACTGAGGCAGTTGGTTAAATGTATTAACCCTAAAAATGCAGCAAAAAGATGACATCTGTTGTTTTCATGCAATATGCAGATTAGCTTTAATCAATATGCTTGTTTTTAGTTTAAATTTGATTTGTTGTTGGTTTTAATCTCTTGCAAATTGCCCAGAGCCTGTGGGAATGGGGCAATATATAAAAATAAAAATTAATGAAAATGAGTAAATTTATAGAAATGATTTGTAAAATACTAATCTTTTGAAAACATACGAGAAATTTGCCTCATATCATACAAATGGGGTTATCATCATGCTACAGTTGGGATATATGAACAGTGTGGCTAGAAAAAGTATACAATGGAAGATGGTGTTGACTGTAAGAATACAGGTGCAACAAATTCAAAATGATCCATCATTTGGCTATCTTTCCTAAAGTTATTTATATCAACTGATATGCATCATGCTAGAAGCAGAATGACTAGCAAATTCAGTAAAATATACTCAGCTAACTCAACCAATTAGGTTGATCTACAAAAACAGGAGTTACCAGATAGTCTGACAAAAAATTCTTCCTGATCTCCAATATAAATGATTGCCACTAGAAATGAAATCAAGACTTCCAGGTTCTTCAAATAAATTATTTCATCAGCACTGCAACAACTACACACACTTATGCCATATCCTTAGCACCTGTTACAGCCGTTCTGTATACCTCAAGAGTAAGGGACAAACCCCCAAAATTCTCAGCAAGGAAACACAGATATTTGTTTCACAAAGCAATGCAAAGATAAAAGTAACAACTTATCCATGAAACTGCAACCAACTGCCTATTTACTATACCTACCATGTAAGGCATCTTTCAGAACTAAATCCAGAAGTACACTTTAAAGAGCAACAAGGCCCAAAACTATTTTTAATAAAGATAACTATAGAGGATAGCAGAGAGGAGAAATTCAATTAGATTATTATTTTTACATTAGGTATTCTAAGAAAAAAATAGTCTAAGAAACAGATTCATTTTGTCCTGTTTTAAAACACTGAATGAGATCCCTATGACTTTATATTGCTTATAGTGCTTTATATTGTAGATGAAAATACATATTCCTTGAAATATGTTACATTTTATCCCCCTCAAAGAACCTCTTTAATATTCTAAAGGTTACTGTGAAGTTGTCTGAGACAAGATAACCAGGCAAACATTTATTAGAGACAGAGATAATGTTTTCCATTTTCTTTATTACATATCTTACAGGTGCTGAAATACAGAAAGCTGACAGAAATGCACTCATAAATACAGAAAGTTAAATCAAACTTAACATCCTACATGAAACAGATTTAGCCTGACATCAAGTTAATAATCTTCCAAGTTATAGCTTTATATTTAATTTGATAAAATTGGGATTCTGATTTTTTTAAAGAAGTTTTCCCTTTCTTCAAAAACTCCAGTTATCAGTGCTTTTAGTAATAGAATATTGCTCTTTGACGCAGGGCAGTACCATTTTTAGCTTCCTATGAATCCTATCACTTGTCATGTGGAATGCATTGCAGCAGAGAATGTTAGAGGACGTGTAAATGAAGTCAAAAACTGATGATTGCACTGTGAAGATCCTAGTAGACATCCAATCCATCCTCTATTAAAGAACTATCTGTCTGCAATTTGCTGATCTAGTGTTTCTTCTTCCCAGTCTCTTCATCTTCTTCCAGTTCTTCTGCCAAAACATACTTTTTCTTTTCCAAAAAGAGATGACCTTACTCACAGCAATGACATATGACTGGCTGGAATCCTGGTTTTCCTAAAATTTCTAGCAGCATGGAAAAAGTCTGAAAATGTCAGAGGCACAGAAGAGACTGGTTTATGATAAGCCCTCTGACAGGTTTCTGGTGCTGGAAAAAAGGAGACAGAAACTTACTTTCTGTTAACAGATAGTAGAAACAACTCAAAGAAATAAAAATATTCTAGACAGCAACAGCTAGGTTATGTTCACATGACTCCAGTCCTCCGTCAGCTTCACTGGCTTCCCATTGAAGTCCGGGCCCAATTCAAGGTGTTGGTGATGACCTATAAAGCCCTTAACGGCTTGGGTCCAGGTTACCTGAAGGAGCACTTACGTCCATATACGCCTGCTCACCCCTTGAGATCAGAGGGAGAGGCTCTTTTCCGGAAACCCTCCGTGAAGGAAATTAGGAGGGTAGGTACTCAGAGGAGGGCTTTCTCTGCGGTGGCGCCCAATCTATGGAATGCGCTCTCCAGAGAGGTCCGCCTGGTGCCATCATTATTTGTTTTTCGGCGCCAGGCGAAGACCTTTTCATTCAAATGTTATTTTAATTGTTAATATTATTTATTCATTTTATTCTTTGGCCAGGGCGACTTAATTTATACTGTTAATTTATATTATTCTACTGAAGTTTATTTTTGGTTGTGAGCCGTCCCGAGGCTTCGGTGAATGGGGCGGCATAGAAGTCTGATAGATAGATAGATAGATAGATAGATAGATAGATAGATAGATAGATAGATAGATAGATAATAAATGTAACAGACAATCTTTGGGGAGAATGGTACATTCTCTATACCGGAGGATGGTTTAGAACAGGGGTGACCAAACCAAGGCTTGGGAGTTGCATGTGGCTCTGAGTTTATTTTGCTGCTTGCTGCCCACCACTGCTGCCCACAGACACCCTTTTGCCTGCCACCGCCACCTGTAAGCACCTGCTTGTAGCTCTCAAACATCTGATGTATGTGGTTCTTCCTTTGAGCAACTCTGGCCACCTCTGGTATAGAATAATGGTATAGGTAGGGAAGTTACTAGGTTAATTGGTGAGCTATTGAATTGCTATGATGGAATCAAAATCAAAATCAGCTTTAAGTATTTCTGAAAGAGGTGTGTGTGTTCATTTGTTACTTTACAATATCTATGAAGCTTATCTCATGATACTATTTTCCCCAACTCCCTTCTGTCCTACTTAATGGGACATCTATTGCAAAATGCTTGATTTTTTTCTCTTTGATACTCACCTCTCTTGCTGGTTTAGCTCTGCCAATTCCTGATTGGTACTTGCTGCTTGTTTTTAGTGATGTTGTAGGATTTGGCTTGCTTTGAGAAAATGTTCTGCCCCATATGTTGGACCAATGAAACCTCAAATAGATCTGACTTCTTGTCATCCACAGATTCATTCTGCATACTACGCAAAGGAACTATGCATGTAGGATCAGGAACATTTTCAATTATCCAAGTATTAGGGATTCTAGTCCATCAATGCACTGTTAGTATGTTGCAATCAGTGTTTCATAACATCCATGGGATTACATTCTTCCCTTCTAGAAGTTTTTTTCAGAACCACTAAAAATCTGACTTTCTTTCTCTCTCACTTGATCCCCACCCTAACCTAATTGTGTAAACAGCAGTCCTCTTTTCAATCAATTCTAGTGGAAAATCCTATACTGTGTCAATTGAGAGGCCCATCATCAGTAAGACACACACATGCTTAGCATTCTTCTGCTGGCATTTCTCACACCCATGGAAACAACCACCATTCTGAGAAAGACTGTTTTAAATAGTTTGGGTCTCAAAGCTTGTTTCATCCATTCCATACTGCATCCATTACACATGTGTAATGTATCACACATTATTGTCAAGGCTTTTAGC